GATTCTTATAATAAAAAGAAAATTATCTTCTTACCAAATTATCTATTTTGGTTGAAAAGATTTCATTAATATCAGAAACTAATAAAAGAAAAAAAACCCAAAACCTCTAGAATATGACTTTTAGTTTTAGCTATCCTCACGACCAAACACACCTAAAGTTAACGCGTTTTCTTTACTTTTCGACTCTTTATATTTCCATACGTCAACGACATTGACCTCGTCGTAGATTTTCATTAAAAGCCCTGCTTTTTTTTTTATCAGATCAACCTCTGTTTTAGCTTCGATCATCAAGCTTCACTTCTCGTTGCGACGTACTAAAGGTAACCTTCGCGTATCTCTTCTTGCAATTTCTTCGTTTTTAGTCACTGTTCATGTTTATTCCGTTCGACTTCTGGGTTTTCTGACGAAATTTTCATGTCCTATTTTCTTCTGAATTTTCGATTAATGAAGATCTTTATCGAATTTTGTTTACCTGGGAAAAACCCTAATCTGATTCCTGAATTCAAAGTTTGTTCTCTCCGAATCCGATTGCTTAGGGGCTTCATTGACTTAATTCGATGGTTTTTAATTGTGATCGGTAAAAGAGTGTATATGGAAGCCTATGCGTAGCTTGATGGAAATTTTCTGTTAGAGGAACCTTCCATATAAGGAAAATATGTAAAATCCTTCTGGGTTTGATGTTGTTTATGTTGTGAAAATTTCCGGTTTTTCTTTTGTTTAGCCGAAGAAGATGAGTGATAATCTAATGGACAAAGTTAGCTCACTTAGTGAGCGTCTCAAGATTGGAGGTTCTGAGGTGAGCAAGAAAGTGAGTGCTGGTGTGAGCTCAATGAGTTTCAAAGTTAAGGAGCTTTTCCAAGGTCCTAATCCAACTGATAAGCTAGTCGAGGATGCAACTTCGGAGAATTTAGAGGAACCTGATTGGGCTATGAACTTGGAAATATGCGATATGATTAATCAGGAGAAGATCAATAGCGTTGATTTGATCCGCGGGATAAAGAAGAGGATAATGATGAAACAGCCGAGGATTCAGTACCTTGCCTTGGTTTTGCTTGAGACGTGTGTTAAGAATTGTGAGAAAGCTTTCTCTGAGGTTGCTGCTGAACGAGTCCTCGATGAAATGGTTAAGCTGATTGATGATCCGCAAACCGTTGTGAATAATCGGAATAAAGCTTTGATACTGATTGAAGCTTGGGGGGAATCAAGCAGCGAACTCCGCTACTTACCTGTTTTCGAAGAAACTTACAAGGTTTGTTGGTGATCGTAATGAGTTTGCTTATACTTTATCACTCTGGCATTGGGTTTTTGATACCTTTATTTTTATACCGTAGAGCCTAAAATCAAGAGGTATCCGCTTTCCTGGGCGTGATAACGAGAGCTTGGCGCCTATCTTCACCCCTGCTCGGTCGTCCTCACTTCCAGACACCACTGGTCTTGCTCTGCATGAGAATGAACGTGCACATGTGCAGTATAATGCTCCTCCTGTACGAAGCTTCAGTGTGGAGGAGACAAAGGAAGCTTTTGACATTGCAAGGAACAGCATTGAGCTTCTTTCGACGGTTTTGTCCTCTTCGCCTCATCAGGAAGCTTTACATGTAATCCAACACTAAACATTTAGCTACGACATGTTCCGCAAACATTGCATTCATGGATCTGATGTTGTTTTTTTTCTTTGCAGGATGATTTGACAACCACACTTGTACAACAATGTCGTCGATCCCAAACCACTGTCCAGAGAATCATCGAAACATCTGGAGAAAACGAAGCCCTTTTATTCGAAGCATTGAATGTAAACGATGAGCTACTGAAAACGCTTTCAAAGTATGAAGATTTGAAGAAACCTTCTGCACCATTAGCTGCACCTGAGCCAGCCATGATCCCTGTTTCTGCTGAGCCTGACGACTCTACCATTCACGCGAAAGAAGAAGAGTCATTGGTCAGGAAATCCTCGGGCGGTGGTGCTCGTGGGGCTACTCACGGGAGCGGAAGCAGCAGC